GTGAGGGCATATGACATAAGGGGGGGGCATGATAGGAGGGTGGAGCTCTGCAGAAGGAGACAGGAAGGACTGGCAGGGCCTCTGCAAGCAAGGGGTTCAGCATTCAGCAGAGCAGTGAGATTAAGCACAGATCCATGCAAGGAGACTGGAAAGAGTAAGGGTCCTTTCCTTTCCAGAAGGCATTTAGATGCACAAAAGGAGAACTGTATATTCTCAGATTTCAGTCCATTGGTATTGAGAATAGAGAAGCCTACAGATTCTGATGGTAAAAATACTACTTTATATTTGAATACTACCTTTGAAATACTATTTTGAATTGTGTGGTATTTTGAATAGTATTTGAAATACTATTTTTCAAAGTTCTTTGTCATTTAATGGGACCAGTTTTAACACTGTAGAAACTTTAATAGTCTTGAAATTTTTGGAATCCCAAACCTGATTAATGACTGCAAAACTCAGGGTATCAAATGTCTTCGTAAGGCCAGTGAATTTAATGGGTATCAGTAATAACCTCTGCATTTTATTTTTGTAGTAACTTGTATAAAGATCATGTCCCTAACTTCACCATTCTGGCCCACTGCATATTTTGGAAGGTTAGAGTTAGTTTTGTGGTAGCAAAATACTGTCCAGAGGGAAACTGGGCCAGGACATTGACTCAGTTGCTTAAAAGCATGAACAGCGGGCGCCTGGGTGGCTCAGTCGTTAAGCGTCTGCCTTCGGCTCAGGTCATGATCCCAGGGTCCTGGGATCGAGTCCCACATCGGGCTCCCTGCTCGGCAGGAAGCCTGCTTCTCCCTCTCCCACTCCCCCTGCTTGTGTTCCTGCTCTCGCTATCTCTCTCTCTGTCAAATAAATAAATAAAAATCTTTAATAAATTTAAAAAAAAATGCATGAACAGCAAGTCCAAGATGTATTTTATAAGTTTATTCTGGTGTATTCTAATAAACCTTTGTTCTTACGGTTTTAAAGCTTGTGCCAGTATTCCTCAAACTAAAGCAGAAATGCTGAGTATTATTTTTAAATCAATATTCTTCATACCTTGTAGTATTACTTAGAAAATGCCAACTCTATTTAATTTTTCAAAGACATTATTATTAAGAATTCTAGGGGCGCCTGGGTGGCTCAGTCAGTTAAGCATCCAACTCTTGATTTCAGCTCAGGTCATGATCTCAGGGTGGTGAGATAAAGCCCTGTGTGGGGCTCCATGCTGAGTGTGGAGCCTGCTTAAGATTCTCTCTCCCTCTGCCTTCCCCCTCCCCCACTAGCACTTTCTCTCACTAAAAAAAAAAAAAAAAAAAATTCTATTCAGATTCATTTATTGAGTATTATTGAGGAGAAACTTGAAATACAAGTTATGATATTATAAAGATTCAGGGCAACAGAAGGGGTATAGCACATAGTAGATAATAGTGTGGAGTCAGAGTCTGTCAGAGATTAGATTCCAACCCTACCACTTACTACATGGGACTTCTTGGGTGAGTCAGTTTCTCTGTGACTTGGTTTCCTCAGTTGTGAAGTCAGGATAATAATAGGACCCACTTCTTAGAACTGTTGCAAATTTTCAATGGACTAATGCATGTAGAACACTCTGAACAGTGTCTAGCCTTCGGTAAGTGGGAGCTATCATTATTCAGAGATTTCTACTTGGAATTCTAAGAGTTCAAGCAAAAGTTTCCTTAATCTTACCATATATTTTGAAGTATTGGGAAAGGATTTTAGATCTTTGGACCTTTGGGAATGCCCTACTGAAAGAATTTCATTTTAAAAAATGAGAGAATTTAGGTATATGTAGACTAAGGGACTTGCTCAAGATTCTAAAGACAAAAACAATATCAGGAATTCAGTCTTCTTATAATCTTTAGAGCATTGCATAAATATGCAAGCAATCATATGCAAGCAAAAGTAAATAAGTACCCAGAGCCAACTTTGGATCACACAATCTATTAACACTTGTACCCTTTGGTGTTTTTATGTACACAGCTTTATTTATTTTTTAAAAAAATTATTATTATGCTTTGTTGTTGTTGTTATTGTTGTTTTGAGACAGAGAGAGACAGTGGTGGGGTGGAGGGGCAAAGGGAGAGAGAGAATCTTAAGCAGGCTCCATGTGGGGCTCCATCTCACAACCTTGAGATCATGACCTGAGCCGAAATCAAGAGTTGGATGCTTAACCAACTGAGCCACCCAGGTGCCCCTGTACACAACTTTAAATGCAAGATGAGTTATTCCAAGGTGAGTTTAAATGAGTGACCTGAGTCATCTTACCTTCTGGAAAATGTACTCATTTGTTTTTCCATGCTAGCAACCTTAAGACAATTATCTATACATAGGCAAGGTAGAAGGATTCATTGGGGAAAGCAAACCATATAATTCAAACCAAATGACCCTTTTGGTCTGAACTGTCCAAATAACTCTGACTAACTTGGTTGTGTTTTATTTTGTTTGCTTCATTTTGGAAACTGTGGGATCAGCAAGAAAAGTGGATGAAGAAAGAACTGAATTTTCCAAACAATTGTCTCAATTTTCTACAGTGTTAGAAACAATCAGTGTTTGACCCTTAAAATAGATAATAGAAGTGCTATTAAAGTGTTTTACCTCAAAATAAGGGCCCCCCAGATCTGTCATTTCACTATTATACAAAATTTCCATTTAAATTTTATGTCTGAAGAGCATTTTTTTTTTTTTAAGATTTTATTTATTTATTTGACAGAGAGACACAGCGAGAGAGGGAACACGAGCAGGGGGAGTGGGAGAGGGAGAAGCAGGCTTCCCACTGAGCAGGGAGCCCAATGTGGGGCTCGATCCCAGGACCCTGGGATCGTGACCTGAGCTGAAGGCAGACGCTTAACAACTGAGCCACCCAGGCGTCACTGAAAAGTATTGTTATTCTTAAGATGTTTACTCTAAGCTGCTATCAGCCAAAACTTGAGAGTGCAGCGTCACTACTGCCCATCAGCAGAAAGCAAGGCTAGCACATTGATTTCTAAATATTTGTCTCAGAGGAGAAAAGGTCTTAGACATGGGGACCCAATTTTCCAACATGCATGCCTTGGATTTAGTCCAAAATATAAACCCTAAAATCACCTATCAGTATGAAATTAATTGAGTTATTACACATAGAAATGAAAAAGTGTAGAGCAAAATTAATTATTAGTTGCCACTATTTAAAAATACTAGAAACCTCTTAAAAGTATTTGTCACCATAGTTGGTGTGAACTAAACTATCAACTACCTTAACTGATATTGACAGAACTCTACACCTAACAACTATAGAGTTGTTCTCTTTGCTTGCACCTTTCAAATTTCTTTTCAAATTCATGTTTACTCATGAATATTGACTCAAAGATGTTGACTCATTAAAAAATATCTAGTGAGTCAATCATAATCATGTAGAAAATGCTATTTGACTACAGCAATATTAAATTAGAAATCACAAACAAGAGATCTTGGTATATTAGGTTGCTCAGGCTGCTACAACAAAATACCACAGAATAGGTGGTTTAAAGATTAAGGTGCCATGGGACGCCTGGGTGGCTCAGTCGGTTGAGTGTCTGCCTTTGGCTCAGGTCATGATCCTGGAGTCCTGGGATCGAGTTCCACGTCGGGCTCCCTGCTCATTGGGGAGTCTGCTTCTCCCTCTGCCCTTCACTCTGCTCATGCTCTCTCTCACTCTCTCTCTCCCTCAAATAAATAAATAAAATCTTAAAAAAAAAAAAAAGATTAAGGTGCCAGCAAATTTAGTTTCTGGTGAGTCCTCTCTTCTTGGCTTGTACATAGCCAACTTCGTGCTATGTCCTCACATGGGTGCATGAGAAGAGAGAGGAGAGGTGAGAGGGCTCTCTGAAGTCTCTTCTTAGAAGGACATGCTAATTCTATTGGATCAGCGCCCCGCCCTTATGACCTCACATAACTTTTTTTTTTTTTAAATCTTCTTTACCTTAATTACTTTCTTAGAGTCCCATCTTCAAATATAGCTACACTGGGGGTTAGGGCTTCAACATATGAATTTTGGAAGGACACAAATGTTCAATCCATAATACTTGGAAAACCTCAAATATTTAGAAGTTAAAAAACAAACTTCTAAGTAATCCATAGATCAAATAAGAAATGACAGGGGGAAATTGGAAAAATATTTCAAACTGAGTAACAATGAAAATATAGGATATCCATTCTGGGGAGGATGCAACTAAGGCAGTGCTCAGAGAAACATTTATAGCTTTAAATTCTTTATTTTTTTTTTCTAAAGTTTTATTTTTTGAGAGAGAGAGAGCATGCACAAACAGGGAGGGGGCAGAGGGAGAGAAGAGAGAGAATCTCCAGCAGACTTACTGCTGAGCATGGAGCCCCATTGCCAGGCTGAATGTGGGGCTCGATCTCACAACCCTGAAATCACGACTCCATTGAAATCAAGAGCTGGACGCTCAACCGACTGAGCCACCCAGGCACCCCTATAGCTTTAAATTCTAATGTTAAATAGAAGAAAGGTCTGGGGCACCTGGGTGGCTCAGTTGGTAGAGCATGCAACTCTTGATCTCCAGGTGATAAGTTCGAGTCCCATGATGGGCGTAGAGTTTACTTAAAAAAAAATTAATAAATAGAAGAAAGGTCTAAAATCAATGATCTAAGATTCCACCTTAACAAGCTTAAAAACAGAAGAGCAAAGCAAACCCTAAAAGTGTAGAAGGCAGAAAATAAAGCAAAAAGTAGAAATCAATGTAATAGGAAACCTCAAACAATAGAAAAAGTTAATAAATGTACGAGCTGATTTTACATTATTCACTAGTAATGCTAAAAAGATTAGCATAATTAGTCAAGCCTTAGAAAAGTAATCAAGGGAAAAAAATAAATACATTACCACCAATAATAAGAATGATACAAGAATTATTACCATAGATCCTATAGACATTAAAGTAACAATAAAAAGATACTATTAAAACATTTTACCAATACATTTGATGCATTATATAAAATGAAAAAGTTCCTAGAAAAATAAAACTTACCAAAACTGACGAAGATGGAATAATATTTGAATACCGCTATACAGTAGTCCCCCCTATCTGCAGGGCATATGTTCCAAAACACACAGTGGCTGCCCGAAACTGAAGACAGTACCAAACTCTCTGTATCTTATGTTTTTTCGATACATACACACCTATGATAAAGTTTAATTCATAAATTAGGCACAGTAAGATATTAACAGCAAGAGCTAATAAAATAGAACAATTACACTAACAGTGTAATAAAAATTATATGAATGAGGTTTCTCTCTCTTTCTCAAAATATCTTATTATATTGTATTCACCCTTCTTATGATGATGTGAGATGATAAAATGCCTATGTGATGAGATGAAGCGAGATGAGTGATGTAAGCGTTGTGACATAACATTGGGCTACTATTAACCTTCTGACATATGGTCAGAGGATCATCTGCTTCCAGACTGCAATGGACTGCAGGTAACTGACACCATGGAAAGCAAAACCAAAGATAAGGGAGAACTACTGTATCTATTAAAGAAATTGACTTTTTCATCAAAAACCTTTCCATGAAGGAAAGCCCCAGTTTCATTTGTGAATATTCAAATATTCAAGAAAAAACATCACTCTTACATAAATTCTTTTAGAAATAGATGAAGAAAGGGGCGCCTGGGTGGCTCAGTTGGTTAAGCGACTGCCTTCGGCTCAGGTCATGATCCTGGAGTCCCTGGATCGAGTCCCGCATCAGGCTCCCTGCTCAGCAGGGAGTCTGCTTCTCCCTCTGATCCTCCCCCTCTCATGCTCTCTGTCTTCCATTCTCTCTCTCAGATAAATAAATAAAAAATCTTAAAAAAAAAAAAAAAGAAATAGATGAAGAAAGAACAGTTACCAATTTGTTTTATGTGGCCAGTATAACCACAAACCAGACAAATATAAAAAATAAATAAAATTAAAGACTAACATCCTTCATAAACACATACTCAAAAATTCTTTTTTTTTTTTTTAAAGATTTTGTTTATTTGACAGAGAGAGAGACAGGGAGAGAGGGAACACAAGCAGGGGGAGTGGGAGAGGGAGAAGTAGGCTTCCTGCTGAGCAGGGAGCCCAATGCGGGGCTCGATCCCAGGACCCTGGGATCATGATCTGAGCCGAAGGCAGACGCTTAACGACTGAGCCACCCAGGCGCCCCCATACTCAAAAATTCTTAATAATTAGTCAATGAAAGCCAACAATATACAAAAAGGATAATACATCATGATCAAGTAGAGTTCTACCCTGGAATGCAAAATTGGTGTCACATTTGAAAATCAGTATAATTCACCATATTAACTGAATAGAGAATAACACTAACATCATTTCAATAGATGCAGAAAAAAAACCTCAATACCAGAAAAAAAATCTCAATACCCATTCATGATTCATTTAACATCTGAATCATGAATACAATCAATGGTGAAATATTGAATGTTTTCCTTCTAAAGTTCAGGACCAAGTAAAGGACACTCTTCTTCATTACTTCTATTCAACCTTGTGATGGAAGTCTTAGTCATTGTATTACGGAAAGAAAAATAAATATAAAACATGAATATCAGGGATGAATAATGCTATCTTTGTTGATGACATGATTATTTACTTATAAAATGCTAAAGAACACGTGCTAGAAATAAAGGAGTTTAGGGATGCCTGGATGGCTCGGTCATTGAGCGTCTGCCTTTGGCTCAGGTCATGATCCCGGGGTCCTGGGATCGAGTCCCACATGGGGCTCCTTGCTCAGCAGGGAGCCTGCTTCTCCCTCTGCCTGCAGGTCCCCCTGCTTGTGTTCTCTCTCTCTCTGACAAATAAATAAATAAAATCTTAAAAAAAAGAAAAGCTATATACCAATGAATTAAAAAAAAAAGTTTAGCAAGGTCATGAGGTAAAAGGTCAATATACAAAAGTCAATTATATATACATATTTTTAAAGATTTTATTTATTTTTTGACAGAGAGAGAGAGACAGCTTGTTGAGCAGGGAACCCTGAGATCATGACGTGAGCCAAAGTAAGGCGTTCAACCAACTGAGCCTCCAGGCACCCCTTTGATACAAATTTTAGAATCAGTTTTACTAAATTTTCTATTTCTGCAAAAAACTTGCTTTAACATGCAAAGAATTGTCATCTTTAAAATATGGAGTTCTCAAATCCATGAAGATAGCACAACCTTGATTTATTTGAGTCTTTAATTTTTCTCTGTGATGTTTTGTTATTTTCTGATTATAGTTCTTGGATATCTTTCGTTAATTTTTTCCTTAAGTATTTGATGTCTTTTGATGCAATTGAGTGTTACACTGTTTTAACATTTTATTATTTAATTTTTTAGATTGTATTATGTCGTCTTTTCTCTAGGATGTAGAAATATATGTGATATTTATTTATTTATTTATTTATTTATTTATTTGAGAGAGAATGAGAGAGAGCACATGAGAGGGGGGAGGGTCAGAGGGAGAAGCAGACTCCCTGCTGAGCAGGGAGCCCGATGCGGGACTCGATCCAGGGACTCCAGGATCATGACCTGAGCCGAAGGCAGTCGCTTAACCAACTGAGCCACCCAGGCGCCCAGTGATTTTTATTTATTTTTATTTATTTTTTATTTTTTTAAAAGATTTTATTTATTTATTTGACAGAGAGAAACACAGCGAGAGAGGGAACACAAGCAGGGGGAGCGGGAGAGAGAGAAGCAGGCTTCCCACCGAGCAGGGAGCCCGATGCGGGGCTCGATCCCAGGACCCTGGGATCATGACCTGAGCCGAAGGCAGAGGCTTAACCGACTGAGCCACCCAGGTGCCCCGAAATATACGTGATTTTTATATAAACTGTCCTTATATCCAGTAACCTTGCTAAAATCACTTATTGAATCTACTGGTTGATGCAAAGTTCTGATTTTCATGTGTACAATTATATCATCTGTGAATAATGACAGTTTTATCTCTTTCTTTCCATTCTTTGTGGATTTTACTTGTTTTTCTTGTTAATTGCATAGTTTATATCAAGTAAAATGTTGAATAAAAGTGGCGATAGTGGACATCCTTTTCTTTCTCTTAGAAGACTGAGTATTTCATCACCAAATATATTTTCTGTAGGAGTTTGGTAGATACCTCTTATCAGATAGAGTATATCCTTTTTCCTTATTTGCTGAGAGTTTTTAGCATCAATAGGTATTTTCATATGAAGAGATATTAAATTTTACCAAATGCTTTTTGGGATCGATTGAAATTATTGAATGATTCTCTCCTTTGTTTTGTTATTGTGGTAGATTATAATGATTGGTTTTATAAATGTTAAATGAACTTTACACTCCTTGGAATAAACCCAATTTGGTCATTGTGTCAACACCTATATCCATATGAATTTAATTTGTTAGTATTTTATTTATAATTTTTGCACCTATGTTTATGAATAAACCAGAATTTCCTTGTTTTTGTAATTGACTGTCAGGTTTTGATAACAATGTTATGGTGGTTAGGTAAAATGAGTTGGGAAGTGTTCTCTCTTTCTCACTTATCTGGAAGAGTTTAGGATACATTTTTTTGAACATGTTTGATAGTATTTACTAATAATGCCACTAGGGACTGAAGTTTGCTCTGTGAGAATTTTTTTTTTTAAGATTTTATTTATTTATTCTTAAGAGACAGAGAGAGAGAGAGGCAGGCTCCCTGCTCAGCGGGGACTCGATCCCAGGACCCTGGGATTATGACCTGAGCCGAAGGCAGACGCTTAACCATCTGAGCCACCCAGGCACCCTGTGAGAATTTTTTTAAATTACAGATGCAATTTCTTCAATAGTATAATATTATATACATATTCTGTTTCTTTTGGTTTCCATTTTGTAAGGGATTTACTAGTTTCATCTAAATATTCAAATGTATTGACACAATTAATTCATTCTCTCCTTATCCTTTTAATGTCTTTCACATCCTTTTGTCTGCTTTTTCATGCCTATATTTGCACCTTCTTTTTTCTTGTTAAATTTTGCAAAGGGTTTTGTTTTCTTTTAAAGATTTTATTTATTTATTTGAGAGAGAGAGTGCACGCGCGTGCTTCTGCGCACAAGCGGGGGAGGGGCAGGCAGAGGGAGAGGGAGACGTAGACTTCCCGCTGAGCAGGGAGCCTGATGAAATGCTGAGATGCGTGCACAGTGGGGCTCAATCCCAGGGCTGAGATCACGACCGGAGCCAAAGGCAGATGCTTAACCTTAACCGACTGAGCCACCCAGGCAACCCTGCAAAAGATTTAATAAAAACTTCAAAGATAAACATTTTGCCTTGTTGAATTATCCCAATTTGTTTTCTATTTTTTTATTTCTGATCTTATCTGTATTGGTTCCTTATTTTCTTTAATTTGCTAATTTTCTTTTAGCTTCTTTAAATAGTTGACTGCCAGCATTTCTTTTTATTTGTAAATATTTAAGTCTTTTTTTTTTAAGATTGTATTTATTTATCTGACAGAGACACAGCGAGAGAGAGAGAGAGAGAGAGAGAGAGAGAGAGCACAAGCAGGGGGAGTGGGAGAGGGAGAGGCAGGCTTCCCGTGGAGCAGGGAGCCTGATGTGGGGCTCAATCCCAGGACCCTGGGATCATGACCTGAGCCAAAGGCAGATGCTTTAACGACTGAGCCACCCAGGTGCCCTAAATAGTTAAGTCTTAAATTTCCCTCTAAGCACTACTTTAGCTGAGTTCCATAACTTTGAAATGATATATTTTCATTAGCATTTAGCTCAGAATATTTTTATTTCATTCTGATTTCTTATTTGGCCAGGAGTTATTTAGAAGTATGAAATTTCCATGCATTTGTGGATTCACTAGTTACCTTTCTGTTATTTATTTCTAGCTTAATTTCTTTGTAGTCAGAGAACATACTCTCTATGATTGTAATCTTTGATATTTGATTTTTTAAAAGGATTTTATTTATTTATTTGACAGAGAGAGTATGAGCAGGGGAGAGGAGCAAGGGGAGAGGAGAAGGAGGCTTCCCCCTGAGCAGGGTGCCTGATGCGGGACTCCATCCCAGGACCCTGGGATCATGAGCTGAGCTGAAGGCAGATACTTAACCGACTGAGCCCCTAGGCACCCAATATTTGATTTCTTGATTTCTCACAAGCATATGATTTATTTGAATAATTTTTCCATGTGCATTTGAAAAGA